CCCCCCCCCCCCCCCCCCCCCCAAAAAAAAGGACCAAAAATAAATTGATCTTTATGAAACCTGTTGCATCTGTTATTCTTTTTTTTTTTTTTTTAAACACCCACGATCCTCTCTGGTTTTGCCAGAGTGCCTCCGTTCGCTTTGCTCCACGGGACCGATGACATCATCGTGCCCGTCGCTTCCTCCGCGAAGTTCTGTGACCTCCTCACCTCGCTGTCCGTGAAGGTGTCGCTCTACCTGCTCCCCAGGGTGGACCACACCGAGATCGTCACCGACCTCATGGTGCCAGACCGCCGCTTCTACCATCCCATCTACAGCTGCATCAAACAGGAGTACAGGAAAATGCTGGGCGCCTGCTGACGACCCATCGGATCCATCCATCTATCCATCGCTAGTATTTACTGATTGTGCCATACTCTTACTTTGTTTACATCACCTGCTCTAATACCTCAACATGAATCATATTTAGCCTTGATTTCTACTCGGTTGTGATTACATGATCATGATTTATGTTTTTGAACAGATGATCATTTTGTAAATCCAATCTGATTGATTTTTGATCTACTTTCTTGAAAAAGGACATTCCTTGTGGACTGCAGTCTGGATGACGTCATTCTAATATTGTCTTGGAGAGATGTTAGCCAGTTCACAGTAAAGTGAAATCAATCTATAACAGTATTATGAAAAACACATTGACGCACACTAATACATAATACTGATATAGGAGTACAGTTACGACAATTCCATTTATTTTCTATAGCCCAAAATCACAAATTTGCCTCAGAGGGCTTTGCGATCTGTACACATGTGAGATCGATCCTCTGTCCCAGGACCCTCACATCGGAACATGAAAAACTCCCCCAAAAAACCCTTTAAGTGGGAGAAAAGAGGAAGAGACCTTATGGAGAGCAACAGAGGAGGGATCCTCTCCCAGGATGGACACAAGTGTGACAGATGTCATGTGTACAGAACGAACAACACAACAGAGTTACAACACATTCAATGCTTATGACATAAATTATTCATGTAATGAGAGTAGCAAGCACAATAATGATGGAAAAATTACGACTAATAATAATAACAGCAGAAGTGGATGTAGTAGAATAACAATGACAACAACATTTTGATCAATCAACCTGCATGTTTTTATTAAATGAAATTGTAATATATTTTCTTGAATAACTATTTCTTCACCTCAGACACATTAAACCCACGTGAAGGAACTGATTATTGTTTTGTATTTGTTGCCAAGCAGCAGCACTTGCAGTAAGTACCAATATATATAAACAACTAGAAAATCATGTATATTGTTAGTTGCACAATTGTACATTGTTTTTACAATATGCTTGTACTTAAAATTTTGTATCTGAAGTTTGTTCCATACATGCCATACTTTTAACATATATCGTCAGTAAGGTAATAATAAATAATAAAATCATAAATATACATTGTTGAGATGTACAAAACTCCACTGAAGCAGGCAATATCATGCAAGAGAACATGCACATCATGATTACATTCAAATACATGCAGTCTGAACATATGAGCATTTCATTACACATTTATCTACATCATATACATACATACACATTTAAAACATAAATGAAAGATTTTTCCATGGCTACATTCTGCTGCAGGGACTGGGCATAAACTGGAAATTACAATATTCATTATGTTGCTTTGGAGCTAAATCTAAAATGCTAAATGTTCATGCATATTGATTGGTATCTATTGTATGAACTGGACTGTATGAAAATGACTGAGTCAGGGAGGGAGGCAGAATCATCATGTATATAAGAAGTGGACAAAGTTTACGTGACGTCACACATTGGTTTGTGGAATGCCGTTTTGAAGCCATCTTGGTTTTTGGAACCATCACTAAGTACAACTAAAACATGAGTAAGACATTTTTAGGTGACTATAGTGACTAATTCCAGCAACTAGCCACTCGGCTGGGTGCGGGAGAAGATCGTGTTCTTTACTCGCTTCAATAAAGAGATTCCAGGGTCTTTCACTTTTTGGTGAGGTTCCCGTTTGATTAGAATTTCCGTTTACAGATAATACGATATGATATAACTTGTCTTCCTAGTCTCCCTGTGGTGTGTCTTGCATGCTGTAATAAACCGTGTGATCTCCCCATCACCCATGCATCATTAGTTGTCTGTTGCACCTGTGCCCCATATACCAATTACCTGCCACATTAATCCACACTGCCACCCATCCCGTGGTCAACCAGAGGTAGGCTCCCAATATAAACAGATATAATACACAGACATAACTAATGGCTCCTACAGTGACCAAAAAGATACAATTAACTTTCATGAACTGCAAATACACTGTGAGAGGGTTAAAGTTGTAGGACAAAAACACAGATAACTCTGTGGTAGCGACCCGTCAGTCACAAGGTAGCCAATTCGTTATGGTCCGTTTGACTCTAAATGGACCATAATTTACTAAATGAACATCATTCTGTATTGAAGAAGACTTGACACTAGAGATTGAGACCATAAACTTATGTTAACAATGTTTACTGAGGGAATAAATCAAGAGAGAAGTAGAGTCATTTTCCCATAGACTTCTATACAATCAGACTTCTTTTTGAAGACAGTGGAGTCGCCCCCTGCTGGCCATTAGAAAGAATGCAAGTTTAAGGGACTTTCAAAATTGGCTTCACTTTTTTTGATCTGGAGGTCACCACCTGGGAAGAATATTATATAAAACAAGACCCTCCTCAGCTTTATTAATATTTTCTTTCGACTTGAAAATATAGCGACTAGTCATTTTAATCTAACTTGAATTAAAAGGATGCTAAATAAATGTTATTACAACCACCATATGAGTGAACCGGGAACTAGCTGCCGTTTTTTAGGGAAAAAATAACAACCTAATACAGAGACAGGACTCTTTTCCACTGTATCACCTTTATTACATGTGCCCACACAAAAGTTATCTTTTTGATGCTTCTCTATACACATGCAAACTACATGTTTAGCTGTTAGAGAAAGGTTTCAGAGCTTTTAGGATGCAGAGTACAACACTATATCAACTTTTCACATGAAGTGACTCATATCTAAGGTGAAAGTTTGAACATGTCACCAGCCGCTGATGGAGGTCACACTTAAACATATTAATAGATTTGAACAAAAAAAAGAATAACATTTTTGATTTATCTATAACTACATATTTGGATTTCATTGAAAAATTAAAGTCTCTTTAAAGGGTTGTCACCCCGTAAATGCCCCTTAGATAGTGCAGATATTCAATTATAATAATACCCCTAATAGGAAAATTGGCTGAAATTAAAAGCCAGAAAAAAATTAAGTTCTTAAGGGTTTCAAAAAAAACAATTCGAAAGGAGGAGGTAACCAAACACCTTTAATAATCCTAATTTATTCGTCCTTGAATTAACCTGAAACCTGGAGAGTTAAATAAAAAATGCAAAGTAAAATGTACCTGTAATGTGATCAACACAAATAGCTCTTTCAAATTGATTTATTTCACAATTATACATCCAACTACATACAATACAAATACGGTTAGATAAAATCTCATATTTCCATTTTTCTGGCTTTTATTTTGAAAACTAAGATTTAAATGCTTTTTTTTTCTTGGAGCAGAACACACACACACACACACAAACAAACGCGCACACACACACACACACGCACGAGGCGGAGTTTATCGAGGACCTCCGTCGGTGCCTGAGTCCAGTCCACTTCAGCCTGCATAGCTGCACGACTCAACTTTTGTGTCTGACGGTGCCGAAGCGTGAAGAAGTGACAAACATGTCTGTTAAAATGTAACCGCACATGTCCGGTAACGTTCGCGTTCCCACCGGGAGAACAAAGATGGACTCTGTTGTGAAAAACACCCAGAAGAAGTTGTGGCTCCGCGGTCTGCTCTGGTTGTCGCTCCTGCTCGAGCTGGCGTCGGGAGGTAACAACTTTTACCCCTTTTTCATTTTCTTTTTTTTCAATGAAAACAAACGAGGGATACACTAATTTGATGGTGCTTTCAATGCCGCTGTGTTAATCTCAAAACCATATCATTATAGTGGATAATGTTGACGAGTTTCCTCCAGGTGTTTGTTGTTTACGGAGGAATTACGTTCAACCTGAAGGCGACTTGTTATAACCACCACTTCAGTGGTCAGTACACATGATCATTAATGGCTGACAGTGATTTCCTTCATGTGCAGGCTTCAGCAGACTATTTCTGTATCATCACGAGCAGCGCCTCCAAAAAGCAGGCTCGCTGTATCACCTTACCGACGATTGTTACATGTTTCCTGTTGAGTTGCTGTAGAGGTTCACGGGTCTTAAAACTGTTAACCTCAACAGAATCGATCAGATTGTGAATGAGGTCTGGCTGGTGGGTTCATTCATACAGCAACCACAGATAGTCATGTTTAGCTTTTTTTTTAATGCAGCTTGATTCTGCATGGTTTTCTCAAATTAATGAGGCCATTAACATCAGTGTTTATCTCAGATAAATGACTTGGGATAATATGTGCGTGCGGTACGTGCACGCGGAGTATGTGCACTGCCTCTTCTTACCTTATCACAGGGAGCAGCGCAAATGGGACTGTGATGCAATCTGACTGTGTGACAACAGCACACTCAAGTTGAAATCAAAGAAATGGACAGGCCTCGAGAGAACTCAGTGTGTGTGTGTGTGTGTGTGTGTGTGTGTGTGTGTGTGTGTGTGTGTGTGAGCTTTTTCATGAGTCACAGCTTCAGATGTATGTTATTTGCATCCATGTGGGCATTCATTAGCCTCTCTGGTTGATTTGATCCCATGCATGTGTCTTCTAAATTCAGCATTCATCCAGGCTCTGCCTTCCCTCCCCGGGGATAATCAGGAACTATTTCATCATGACTCAGTCTCACCATATCCTTTATTGAAAAACAATAACTACAGTATCGACATTTGTTTCACCTTGATGCATCAGCATTCCAGAGTGGCATGAAAAGTCCACAAAAACACCCAAAGAGGCACTTCAGTCGGTCCGATGTGTTGTGTAGAGCTGAGCACACAGTGCTGAGCGCTGCTCTCAGCCCTCAAACTACATGGAAGCGGGTGTTTGCTGAAAGGTCACTGGCTTTGTTCTTTGTGAAATTCCCCCCCCCCCCCCCCAGAAACATGCAGATTACAGAACAACCTCCAAACACCTCTTCTGCTTATGTGTGGGTATTGTTTTCTGGCAGTGCACACTGCTCTTTCATTTACACCCCCCCTCCCCCTAAATATGTCCATGTTTCAGCATGTGAGTAGCCAAGTATGTCGAAAACAACAAAAAGCTGAAATTCTCTCTCCATCTTTTCAAGAATCCAGTAAACTGTGGGGAAGACCTTTTTGTGTTGTTTTTGTTCTAACCAAACATGACGCTCAATCATATGGCTTTAACATCACCGCGACAACCGCCGAAATACAATTGAGCATCCATGTCCATCCCTGTGAATCTAAGGGAACAAATGGCATTGCAATCCTCTTGGCCAGTTTTTTTTTCTCTTGTTTTTTTGTCGGAAATGCTCCCTTCCCCGTTGAGCAGAGCCAGTCAGATGAATGAACATGATGTGTGAGAAAGGACAGTCAGTCTGACTCTGGGTCAGAGGAAGGACGAGTCACGCTGCATGCTGTTTCTGTGGGCCAGTCGATACGTTTGTTGTGTTTAACACCTGACTGCTATGTTAATTAAAGTTAATTTCATTTAAACAAACAGCAGGAATAACCATATCTATTTGTCTTTGGTTTCAAAAAATAAAATTTAAAAAACAAGCACCTAAAGGATATATGTTTTTAAATATATTCCAAA